AATATATATATTTATATATCGTTTACAATGAAGCGTTGGCAGCTGAGGCAGACGACTGTCAACATTGAGGTTAGGAAACCGACGTTGTTGCCGTTGTTGTTGTTGTTGTTGTTGTTGGTGTTGTTGCATTTCTTAATGAGACACGACATGTGCAGCCAGCCAGAGATACGAACTCAACTTCAGAGCGAGCCGACTTCAGCTTCTCCTATTGCAAAATGTGTGAATTGCAAGAGCAGCGCGATAAGAAATGGTAATTATTATTTTGTCTACTTCTTCTCTTTTTCCTTCTGTTGACAACAGTTGCTCTTGGTTGTCGCCTGCTGTTTGTTGCGTGTTGTTTGTTGTCTAGCAGCAGCAGCACTGGCAAGTCGCAGCTAATGTGGTCTATGCATATTTCTATATACTTTTTTATGTAGTTCTATTGATCTTTCAGCCGTGTTTATCGTTCATTAACAGCACTGTTCTAATTACAGCTGAATGTAGATCAATAGAACGTTGAGAGTGTCAGAAATAGATACATAAGTGTAGTTATATGTCGATATATAGATATATATATACATATATATATATAAAGCGAGTGAGCAGCATTATTGAACTATCTCTAAAATTTTTGTTAATATCATCGACTAGGCGTTATCAATGTTTATATTTTTCAACACTAAAACTGTATTTATTTATTTAAATTGCTGTGCAATTTCCTTGGCACTTCAACAACTACTAAAGTACTTCCTCCAATTCTATATCATCTTATTTTTAACCAACTCTAAACTCTTACAGAGCTGTTTATTTTCATTAGTCCGAGTTTTATTCATTTCGTGCTGCATTTACCCTTTAATGTAGCTTAAAATAACAATTTCTAGCTTAATATTTTCTTGACAGAAAATTGCATTAAGTTTGCATGAAAATGCGTAAATACCATTTTCATGATTTCACTGTCAAGTTCAGAGGAAAATGGAGAAGAAGCAGGTAAAGATGCTGCAGATGCTGCTGCAGCTAAAATAAGTCCAAATTGCATTAGAGACAACAAGTGGGGAGGTGTGTGCGTATGTGTGTGTGACGGAGAGGGGCCGAGCTGGATACTTTTAGCAATTGAGGGAATGCAATTAATTATGCAAAACGAGCAAGAGGGGAAATGGAGAAACGTTGAGAGGAAAACGCATCGACGCGCTGCCAACTGAACTGAAGCGTAAACATGGTGCGGAAATTAAGGCAAAGAATCAAAAAACCAACTAAAGTGATGAGGGCGAGAGAGTGGGAGAGAGGCGGGGGGTAAAGGAGGAGAGTGGTAGGAAATGAGATAGTGAGAGTCAGTTGTAAACAAATTGCACTTTAAAATAGCTTACAAAGCTTTGTTGTTGTTGTTGTTGCTGCTGCTGCTGCTGATGTTGCTTTCTGTCTTCGCATTGCGTTCGTGACGCTTGTTATAAATATTTATTATATCATCGACAGCCACTGAAAATGTTACAGACCTTAACCAAAAACGGGGTAGGGTGGACGTCGGTGGGGGAATTGTGCGCAGTGTAATTAAAATGCATTATTAATGAAATGCAAATGCAAAGAAATTAATTAAATATGCAGTGTAGACTCGAGTGACACAGTGCAACAGTCGACCATATGAGCTGTGTCCGTTTTGTCAGCCCTTTTTTGCGAAGAGACAAGAGAGAAGTGGGGGGAGAGAAAAAGAGAGAAAGGGAGCATGCACATTCTCTGCTCCAATATTATAGGAGAGTCTGACTAGAGTCTAATTCAGTTGGATGTGTTTGATTAATGTGCAAATTGAATAAAGTTTAGACGAACTGATTAATGTATATTTATGGCTTATAATAGTTTAGATTTTATAGCCATGTTTGTTCAGCAATATTGAAAATTACTTTATATTCTTCAGAATACATAACTTGAACCCATTTTCAAAGCTCTTTTGCCACACATAAAGTCCATATTTCTAAAACAAGCCCTATACAGAGTTCAACACCTTGTTAGAGCGCTGTAAAAGGTTTCATTTACTGTTTAGCTTTGATGCCTGAAAATATAAAGGAAGTATAAATTATTAATTGGCAAGCTTGCTTACTGAAGCACTTCAGTTTGATCATGCAAAGCTTTTCTGCAAAATCCGCTATAATTTCACTAAAAACTTCTCTCTTAACTTTGCCATAGAAAATAAAAGTTTGATGGCAACTCTGCCGCCTCATTAATTAATCACAACTGCCAGTCGAATCCTCACGCAAAATAAAGCTGAAAGAAAAAAAAAAACCAACCAAGTTTTCATTTTAGCTGCATTAAATGTGAAATGGTTTTCTTTTCATTGTTTATTGGGTGCAGTCAACTTTTCTTATTGAATTCAATTTTTTGCAAAATGTCGACTTACAGATAACCGGATGGTGGCAAAAAGTGGTTTTCCTTTATGGGCTGGGCGAGGGGCCAACGATTCGCTGACAGCAGGTGCAGATGCACTGACAATTGCGTTATAATTGCATTTAATTATGCGACAACAAGAAAATTGAATTAAATGCAATGAACGGGGCATTTTTCACTTGCAAAGGAAAAGTTGGTGAAACCTAAATACACTTTTGTGGTGTGCAATGGAAAGTATTATGAAACTGAGATTATATTAATAATATTAAATGATGTGGAGGGCTGTTTCAAATCATTTCGAATAGCACACAGAGATGTGTATTTACTGTACTTTGCAGGAAAATTGATTTTGATAAGAGTCTCTTATGTGAGGCCAAATGAAATGAAGAGACTGCACCAAAACAAATTAAATATAACTGCTTCGAATTTCATTAATAGCGGTACTAATATGGCGTTAAATGATTTGATAGCTATGTCAACTAGCTGAGTTTGTCCATATGATGCTAAAGAGAAAAAAACTAGCTGTATCAAAGTAAAGTTAAACTTTATTCTCAGTTCCCATTGGTCAGTCTAAAGCTAATCTAATCATATAAATTACGATTATAAGCCTAACGAATATTCAACAAGAAAGCTTCAGTTAAAAATGAGTTCCATAGGTAAAACTGTTCACAAAGCGCTAAATGATGTGATAGGTAGGCTAAAGTGTGAGTTTGAGCCACATGATTTTGTTATATATAGAATCGTAAAGAAAACAAAAACCAGCTACAGTTAGTTTCATTAAGAAAGCTTCACTTGAAACAGAATTCACATAGGCCAATTCTATCATAAATGATATAATAACTGTAGAATGTGAAAAATTTACTCAAATGATTTCAATACATATTATAGTTAAAGCAATGCGCAGAAAGCAATGTATAGCTTTGCTAAAAACTCAGTTCACAACTAAAGAAATATAAAGCAAGATAAGGCTATATGAAATAATTGTCTGTTCCAAAAACTTTTGACATATAATAAATAATATTAAAGCAAAGAGTAGCCAAGTTTACCAAGTTTCAATGAGAAAGCTTCAACAGAAGCTGAGTTCAAAGAGGTAGTTCAGCTTATATAGGGCGTAATATAAAAGTGCACTACTTCCACTCATATAGCAAATATTATCCACACAGCTGCCTCTCAACATATGTAGAGTACCCCCATCTATAGAGTAGCTTAAGATGGCTAGAAAAATGTCGCCGCGTTGACAACTGCAAACGGCGCAACAACTTTGGAATTTGTTCAGTGGTTATTGTTGTTGTAGTTGTTGTTGGAGTTGTTTGCACATAAATTACAGTTATGCCCGCCGCTGGCTGGCAGCGGAAACACAGTTGGCAATGCTAATTCCTTTTGGCTATTCGCTTGTTCGTCCGTTTCCTGCAACAGCAGCAAACCAAAAAAAATTGCAAAAATTTCCCCGCCCAACGAATTTTTTTTGTAGCCTCTTTTAATTTATTTTTTGTGCTGCATTTTCAATTAACGCTTCAAGCGGAAGTCACTGTCAAAAACAGCTGTAAAAGGGAAATTTCCAATGCGAAATAAACTATAACAAGTCGTGCATTTGTTTCGCTTTTCGTTTTCGGCCAAATTGATTTTCTGTACACTTGAAATTTTCACCTGGATTTTATGATTGTATTTCTTCGTTTTTCTTCACAGCTGGGCGCATTTTTGAGTGGGCAGCCGCTTTTCACAATGCGCGAAAAGCAATTGAAAATTTATGAAATATATGAACTGACTGCACGCTCATTAAGTTTTGCTGAAATAGAATTGTTTTTTTCCTTACAAATTTGTATTCAATTTTTGCGAAGTAAATAAATTGAATAACATAACTTAGGTTAAAATTTTGCTTTTTAATAGCGCGCTGTTATTAATGTTTTCTATTTATTTGCTCTCCTTGCAGTGGTCGCTCCTACAGCAAGGACAGCCAGAAGAGCTCGCACAGCGATCTGAGCTCCTTGTGCAATGGGAATGGCAGCGGATCCCCAAAACAATTGGCGAAAACTCCACTGCGTAAGTAAAGTTTATATTGAAAATGTGAATATATATTATAGGAAAAGTTTTTTTTATTTTTATTTTTTATTTATTTATTTATTTTTTTTTTTTAAGCCATACGGAATTATCTAATAACCCTTTGTGTTTTTTAGCTATTAATTTTGCCCATTTGGGAAATGTATGAACAAGGTTTTTTATATAAAAAACACAATTTTTTTTATTAATCAAATGAAGGTTCTATAAGAGCAACTGAAATGAAATTTCTGAACTGCCTAAAAGTAGGGAGCAATTATTTGACAGCAATTGCAGCTGCGTGACTCTGCAGAGGAAAGCCAAACGAGAATGAATAAGCTTTTAAGTGACTCGACGGTCTAAGAAAATATAAGAGATATATTTTATAATATATACATAGAAACAGTAATAACTATAAATAATAGAATGATTTAATTAATGGGGATAGAATATTGGGCTACTCCAACAAATACAAGCAAGAAATACCATTTTTGTGCCGCACAAAAGTATGCTACAGTTTCATTTAAGCAGCGATCGCTACATCACATGTAAACTGTGCAAGCAGTGCATTTGGTAAGCAGTGCGTGACTGCGCTTATGTTGCCGCAACATTTGAGAATTTAAGAGAGCAAATGGAACTTGTTTTTTTTTATGTCTGTTTAGCTGCGGCCAAAACGAGCTCAACGAATGGCCAAAACAGAATAGTTTATAATAAAAAGCGAACCGGCTTATTTTTTTGCTATCTGTATTTCTTTTCTTTAGAGAGCAGCTGCTTGCATGGCCAGCTGAAGAGTTGCTTTGCAGCGAGCAGCAGTGGCAGCGTGTCGTGTGTATCTAGATACAAATGTATCTGCAGCGTTCGATAAAAACGGCACAACACAAATTCCATTCGAAGTCTCTTTAGTCTGCGGCGAGTTTTCAATGTTGTCGCTCGCCGGTCGCGCTCGCATTTTACTTTCCACAACATTTTCTGTCGTGCGTTGCGTGTTTTATGGCGCGTTCTTTTAACCAGAAATGCGCAATTAACACGTGCCAACATAATAAAGTGTTGCAAAATTACAGAAAAAAAAAACTGCGCGAAACGTGTAAAGAAGTTTATAAACAAAAATCCAAATGTAAAACGCATATGCAATCAAAGTGAAATAATAAGTAAAACGTATATAAAAACATATATAGATATGTTTCTTTATAAAGTGCTTAAAAATTAGTTTTGGGTTTATTGTTTGAGTATTACGCATTGTGCAACCCTTTGAACCCTATTTGACACTACAATAAAAACCGAACCCCTTTTCAAACCAATTCTCTGGCTCACATTCATTGAAAGCAACAAACGGGTTTTGTTCTCCAAAGTATGCCGGCTTCTGAAAATGTATTCAGCGTGTATGAAACAATCGAACTTAAGATCAAAACACCTGAAACCTAACTTGAGCTTTTACCTGCTGTTGTGCTGCATTTGACGTCATTTGGGTTTCATATGTTGTTCTGATTTTGTTTCATTTCTGTGTGCGTCGTACTCAAGAAACTCGGGCATTCTAAGAGTTAGAGTTTTCATATTATTTATAATGTGAACATATGTGAAAAGAGTTTATAATACCGAAATCATAATACTGAAATCATGAGTACTATAGCTGATCTGTAGTAGCTTAAACTTAAATATTCTGCACATATAAAATTATATGTGTACTCTTCATACGTAATATGGTTAATAAGACACAGATTTGCATATAAAAGTTTGTGCTTGCGTCTGAGTTAGGGTATTTATTAGTCGAGTATACTTCTTAAAGTGATAAGTCAAGAATGTGATTTTATATGATATGATATAGCTTATAATACTATGTTTCAGCTGAATATAAACTTTGATTAGTTCATAGTCAGGTATCTTCTAGTCGGATATGCCCACCAACCTCTGAATTATGCTATTAACGTATTTGGTTTTTTCTGTTTGTTTTCGGTAGCCTATCCTTCAAGGCGATCGAGTTGTGCGTTGATTGAATAACCAAAAAGTGAACGAAACGAACGAGAATTCGCATTAGTTTTCGGCAATCAATCAATCAATCAATCAATCATGCAGTCAGTCAGTCGGACAGTCAGTCGCGTCTGATTCTTGTTAACGTCTTGGCCTGGCCAGTAAATTATGCGGCTAATCATTTTGTTACAGTTTACAGTTTGTGGCGAAGTCGGTTCATCGGTTCTCACGACAGCCGCAAATTTGTTGCCACAGTCTTGGCTCACGCCTTGCTCTCTACTCTCCCTCTCACTCTTTCTCTCCTTCTTCGCTGACTTCCTCTCTTTTACACTGCTGTATTTGTCTATGTTGAGCGCCGTTAGCTTTTGTCTGCAAGTTCATTTACCTAGGCAACGGTCTTAAGGCTAGAAACGTGCTTCATTCTATAAGGTTCGAGATCAAATTCATTAAATAGGCGGGCTTTAAGTAGGAAGGGTTTTATTCTTGCCGTTGAGCTCGCATAATGATCTTAAGTTCTTATGTCTTATATAATAGATGAATGAACTATAAAGTATAGCAGATAGGAGAAAATAGGCGGGAATATGGAAAATTTGAAATATTATAAAATATTTGTTTATTCAACTGTATTTATATTAAATAAAGTAGTATAAAATCTCAATTATATAGAAAAATTCTTTAAATAATAAAAAGTAATTTTGTACACATTTTTATACTTATCCTAAAACTGGCTTACTTTTTACTTTAAAATATTTTTTCTTTGTTTTTACTTTTAATGTATATCTTTTAAACCCGTTTTTTGCATCGTGGTTAAAATTTCAGGTTTTCATATGATTGCGTATCACTTAGCAAACAATGGCTAATTATTGAAATGTCAACTCCATATTATATCTTTTATTTAATGATATAATATATTTTCTGACGGGTTCCAGATATTTATAGAGCTGATATAGTAGCTGATTTAAATTCTATTAGTATTCCAAATTTGATATATATTTATTCAAATTGCGCAGTACATAAATTATGTCAGTTTTCTTCTCTCGTTCTGTGTTTATTTAAACAACTTTTAAAACGGACTAAATTAGTGCTTGAAATGTTAAAAAGTTAACATAAATGTGAAAGTTTATATTTAAATATGATTAATGATAATTAAGACTAACAACAAATATGTTTGACCAAATCAGGTCGAATTTAATGTGAACTTCAGATTTCTATTCTGTGGATCAGCTTGTAGATCTGTTGATTCTTTTGGTTTGCTGTAGCGGTTGATCATTGTTTGGCTGTGATGTAGAGATTTTTGCGATTCAGCTTCTTCAACAGCAGAATTTGCTGATATCGACTCTGTGTTTGCCTTGTTATCGATAGAAATGTAGGCGGAGCTTAGTTAGAGAGATAGCAACGACAACACTTGTCTTCTGTAAACTTATCTTTTAAAGATAAGCAAAACACTAGGCAAAAGTAATTATTGATTTCTCACAAAGTTTATATAACTATTTCGCAAAATATCGATTACATGGGGTATGATGTCGATCACAATTAGTGAGGATGACTATAAAACTTACTTAATATCTCAGAAACCCGTTTGTCAAATGATTTTTCTGTTCCTGTTGATTAATGTGCTTATAAAGATATTTTTTATTCTAGCCTAAAATATTTTCTATGGCATTTATCGAATTATCTGTTATCGATAGGAGTACAACAAAAACTTGTAAACAAGGATATAGAAATTATTTAGAAATAATTAGATCGCCCATTTAACAACGTGTTGGTAAAGATTAAGCAACACTCGAGAGAATGAATGATGTAAAGTTGTATTCCCGTTGTTTTGGACAAGTGCAAGTGCGACACCTGTTTCCGGCGCTTGGGAGTCTCTCAACTGCTTCATTTACAACTGTCTTCAGTCAGATGCAGTCTCTCTCGGTCTCTCTCTCTCTCTCAGTTGTAATTCTACTGCTTCTAAAGCTAACTGCATCTTTGTATTTGCGTGCTCTCACAGGCGTGTGTGTGTGCGTGCGTGTGTGTGTGAGAGTATATTTATCATTGTGACGGCTATTATTTTCATTATGTAGTCGAGCGCTGTCCGCGCTGCGGCTTCTTTCTTGCTCTTTCTTAATTTTCACTTGACGTGCTTTGTGCCGTGTGCTTTGTGCTTTTTACATTTTTATTATTATCATATTTGCATTTGTGCGCTCTCTCTCTCGCGCTCACTCGCATGCATATGCATTCGAGATTTACAAGCGTAACCGCAGCTATACTGCTCCCTCTGCCGTCGCGTACTCTGACTCTGCGTGCGCTCTCCTTTTTTCTCTCTCGCTCTCCCTTTGACTCCTTTCCGCTGAGCAGAGCTCAGCTGTCTGTCAGCAGACGCTTTAAACAGTTGACGTCGGCTTTTCTGTGTATGTGTGTGTGCTTTCATTTACTCCGCACTGTTTCGGCGGCCCTATTGCTCTCACACTCGCACTCTCTTACTGCATTGCATTTCATGCAATTCTTCATTTCTTATTTTTTTTTTTTTTTCGCTTGCTGGCGCTTTATAATTATGTGGGAAATTTGTAAAATGCTAGACAGAAATTTTTTTCTCCTGTTGTAGCTTTTCTTTGATTTTTTTTTTTTTTTTTTTCATTTACTGCAATTTTTTCTGATATTTCGCAATTTTTGTATGTATTTGTTTTTGTTTTACAATACGTTTAAGTATGCGAGAAAGTGTTGTAGGCGTTGTTCATCGCAACCAAGTACATGCTCTAAAAATTGTATTGCACAAAATGGAAAAAAAATCATAAAGAAATATTACAGTAATTTTTTCATGTTACATTTTACCGCTTGAAATAGTTTGCGTTAGCTCACTGAGCGCATTTTGCTTTCAATTTTATTTTACATTTTTTTTATTTATTTAATTTTTTGCCAGGGCCGAACAGAAAACTTTGTCTGTATGAAAAAAAAAAAAAAGGAATTCTGATATATTCTGCAAATATTTGCAGATATATCTAAAAGGTTTCTGTGTTAAGCAAAGTACAGGAAAGTTTCTACTACATTTTCTTTTGGAG